GTGGGGAACCACCATATACAAGAAGATACAACCCAGCTGGCGGCGACGCACGGCCAATCCAACTCCTCAAGCATGTCCACACTGTTACGGAAAGAGCCGCCTGCGGAGCAACCTCAGGTCATAAAACGAGCGAGTTCAAGGACAACGCTCAATCCTCAGTTCACTATGCCGCCAAACCCAAGGCTCCCTCGAGAGGTCGGCACCCGTAGCCAGGATGGGGAGCGGCTACTCCCTGACTCTCAGATCAGATGGCAAGCCCGCAACAACTAATCTGTGAAGACAGCCCGGCCTCTGGCAGTGGGTTCGCAAGTCCTACGCGCAACATCACCAGCCAGGAAGAAACAAAAGAGAAAGGAACCCACTTCGCTTTAATAGGAACCGAAACAGCCTTGTCGATGCACGCGCCGCATGAAGCGCACCTTAATTAGCATAGCATGAGCCCGAGCCAGGAAATCCACCCAACAGCACGCACCAGAATCCACCCACTACCTGCGAGCGCCAGGAGCGCAGCATCTTGTACGGTGCGGGAGGCAGAAGCCACCTAACATCATCTCCACAAAAACGGCCACACGTGCTACAAACAAACAAACAAGCTTCATCACGTTCAGAGGGCTGAACACGCACAACCCCATGCACTGAGAGAATCACATGCCCTCGGCCAAACCAGTCCTCGGCAGCAGTTTCAGACGCACACGGATACACACGCCCACACACACACACACACACACACACTCCAGAATGATAGCTTCTGTATAGCCAGTTGCCGGCATCGCCGCCCGGCAAGACGAAACCTCACACCAAGCCCATAGAACTGCAACAGTCGCCAGCGTATACGCGGCAAGCCACTAGTCACTAGCCCCTCTTGCTCTCCCACTGTCCAGGTGCCAACCGAGCCAAGCACATCTTTGCGGTCAGACCGGTCCTGAGATCCAGCGAAACATCTAACAAGCTCCGAAAGGCTGCCTCTAGGAAATGCTTCAGTAGCACACGAGCACGCTCGCGCGACGAGCGGGTCCAACCTCAGTTTAACTTCTTGTGCACCATCGCTCCCATTGGCTTCCCCTCCCCTCCAGTGCGACCCTTCTCGGGAGCACGACTGGCCGAGCAACTCCCGTGCAGGGCCGCTTCCACCTCGAAGATGTCATGCACACCGCTGCAGGTCTCCGATACATCTACTTCGCTGTGGCAAAACACAGCAGCCGTCTCAGCAGTGCGCCGGTCGAAGCGTCGGCGGTCGGGCTTTGTGCGCTCCTCGACCGCCTTCTTAAACAAACGCGCACATACTGGCAAGACAGATGACACACTCTACACGAGAGGCACAGCAACACGAAGGCGCGGACCTCTCCCTGCACCTTACCAGTGCGTGCTGACACTGGCAGGGCTTGACTCGTAATACAGACACGTGCTAGTACGGAGACACACGCATGCAACGGAAATGATGCCAACCGGAAGACAAGAAGCATCACAGCCTAAGGACACCACCCGATCGCGCCAACGCTTCGGGGCCTGTACAGGATACTGCACAGGCCCCGCATTGCGGATCTAACAGCCTAACAGCTGCAGGTAAGAGAAACCGAAAGGTCTGCATCACATACATCCTGTGCATCTTAGACACAACACCCGTCGGTCAGATCCGTATCGGTATTCCCTCGACTCGTTGCTGCTATACTTCGGGCCTATCCCCATGTCTCGATGCTCATTGTGTGGCTCGCTCGAATTCGGACGACAAGTTAGAGGTACGGAAACACATGAATTTGTCAGGGTGAAACTCATAGCGGCCGTGAAGCATGTTCGTCGTACAATGCCGAACCGAGACTAGTTACGGCAAGCCGGGCCAATAATCATCCGCACAAGCGTCACGGACGAAGATCAAAGCTTCAACCCCCACATTCAAGAGGGTGTGTCTCCTCCTGCTTGAACGCTCGAGCAGTTGCATTGCTACGTCCAGGAGTCAATGTCCCCACTGTACTTTTGCACATCCTCTCTTCGGCTTAAAGGCAACCAGACAGTGAAGACATACCAACTCCAGCACTCCAGAACTGCCCCGAGCCCAGGACTCGGAAGCCGAGAGTTGCATCGACCTTCGCATCAGCACAGCTTAGGGTGCAGAGAGGAAGCCAACCGGACCCACAAAGTAGACATGTTAGTATTATCGTTTACGCGGGGAGACATCCGGAGGTCATGCTACTACCGCTACATGAAACGAGCATCAGCCGACAGGTCAACTTCATACATTCCTGCCTTGGGCTTTGCGCGTGGATGGTGAAACGTAACCTCAACCTGTTCGGCAGGAGTATGAAAGAGAGGCATGTCCCGAGCCTTTAACACAAGGCCCCCACCGGTGTGCTGTCGCCGCCACCAGCCACAGCTTCCTTTGAACGTGAATATTAAGGGACACAATGTTGAAACGAAAGCGAGCAGTGTGAAATCACACCTGGAGCCAGTCCAGGTATACGGATACCTGGTTCTTGTGCAGGATGCGACACATGGCCAGAATTTCACTTTCCACGACGTCCGAGTACGCCACCTCCGGCGTCTCCACCCCATCCTCGCTGGAAATAGCGTCTGCAGCACTTTCTCACCTATGCGTGCTTCGCAGGCCTCGACATAGCACCGCCACTGGAGCTCCTCGTGTCATGGAAGTTCACAGGCGGAATGGTCAGCACGTCGGCCGTAAAATCTCTGGATGAAATGAGACCCAGACGAAGCTCACTGCGACGTGCTGGGGCGAGACCTCGATGACCACCGGGGTAGACAGTATGACGAGGCCTGTGCCCGCCAAGATGACTCGGTGGAATTCGAGTGCCGCTCGCTTTTTGCCGAAGGCTCCACCTGACGCAGCGATGCGGCGCTTGCTCCATGTTAGACTGATAGATGCACGTCTGCAAGCCGAGCTCCCCACTGCACCGCCTCCATTGTCCTCATCACGACGACACATCTCGCTGCAAACCCAGTAGATGTGTCGACCTCCTCTTCGCGGCGCTTCATGGCCTTATGCACTGCCGCGAGATCTGAGTACGAAGAGTAAGTGTACAGACGACAAACCATCTAAGGACCGAACACGCTTGCGGCACCTCACCTGATATTGCAGAATAAGGTTCACAAGCACACCCGCAGACACCAACGCTTGTGTGCAAACGAACACAGGGCCAGCCTGGTACCGCCACAGCAAGAAGACCAATGTCATCATCCAGATCATGGCACGAGACACAGAAAGCTGGAAACGGCAAGAACAGAGAGAGGAAAGGAGACAAGCAACCGTCCACATCACAAACCATGAAGAGGGGTAGCATTGAATCGCTAGAATCATGCGACTTCATATGACGGTTTAGCATCGTTAGAACGTATGTACTATCGAGTTGCGATCTAATAGGATTTGTGAGGGATCCTATACCATAACTCCATGGAGTGTCAATCGTCTACGATGCAACTGCCAAGTGGAAAGGTCGGACATGTGCATGCAAGTGCATGTGGTGGTGCTGTGAAATGTGTACGGTCGTTGCCCGCTTGCGTGAGACACTTAGCTCAAGCTCAGAAGAGAGACTACACACGTGAGCCGAAAGAAAAGCGAGTCGCATCGATGGACATCATGTGTACAAAATCATGATCAGTAGGCTGGCGGGTCTTGGCAGACGCATCGGACTGGATAAAATCATTTGTCAACGCAAGCGGACGAACCACAAAACTTGAGGTATCCCAGCTCCGGGACCTTGACCACAAAGCCACACAACCATCCCAACCGGGACCTTGACCACGAAGCCACACAAAACTTGAGGTGTCCCAACTTGATGCATCCTAACCCGGATCTTGACCACGAAGCTACAGAACCTGAGGTATCCCAACCGGATCTTGACTACGAAGCCACAAAACTTGCTTGTGGTGACGAAAAAGCCCAGTCAGAAAACTTGAGGTATCCCAATTGGTATCTTGATCACAAAGCCAGTAAACTTCAGGTATCCCAACCGGGATCTTGACCACGAAGCCAGAAAGCTTGAGGTACCCCAGCCGGGATCTTGACAAAACTGAGGTACCCCAACCGGGATCTTGACCGAGGATCTTGATTAGGACGCCGCAAAACTTGAGATATCATCCCAACCGGCATCTTGACCACGAAGCCACGATCCCAACCAGCATCTTGGCAACGAAGCCACAAAACTTGAGGTACCCCAACCAGCATCTTGAAAACGAAGCCAGAAAACTTGGCCGGAATTATTTGAGGATTTTTTTTGTTTTCTTTGGGGAATTTTTTTTGTTTTTGGCTTTTGCTTGGGAAGGGGGGGGCAGGGAGTACTAGTACAAGTACTAGTACTGGTACTAGGGTGCGCCCCCGACGTTTGCCCACACTTTCGTGTGGCAAACTGTCGGGGGACACGGCCTGGTGCAGTTAATCGTTGTTTGCTGCTTCGGGAAACTAAGTCACGGAACTGCTGAGTTCTGAAGATGGAAGTGGACGAAATGCTGGCAGGGTCAGCAAACGCGCTGGTTGCACTTTTGCGTTTTCACGGGAGATGGATGCCATGCGGGAACGGATGGAGTCTGAGTGGACGTTATCATGCTTGGCCCATTCGATGCTATGCGGGAACGGATGGAGTCTGGGTGGACGTTATCATGGTTGGCCCATTGGATGCTATGCGGGAACGGATGGAGTCTGAGTGGACGTTATCATGGTTGGCCCATTGGATGCTATGCGGGAACGGATGGAGTCTGAGTGGACGTTATCATGGTTGGCCCATTGGATGCTATGCGGGAACGGATGGAGTCTGAGTGGACGTTATCATGGTTGGCCCATTGGATGCTATGCGGGAACGGATGGAGTCTGAGTGGACGTTATCATGGTTGGCCCATTGGATGCTATGCGGGAACGGATGGAGTCTGGGTGGACGATATCACGGTTGGCCAATCGGATGCTATGCGGGAACGGATGGAGTCTGAGTAGACGTTATCATGGTTGGCCCATTGGATGCTATGCGGGAACGGATGGAGTCTGAGTGGACGTCATCATGGTTGGCCCATTGGATGCTATGCGGGAACGGATGGAGTCTGAGTGGACGTTATCATGGTTGGCCCATTGGATGCTATGCGGGAACGGATGGAGTCTGCGTGGACGTTACCATGGTTGGCCCCTGGGCTGCTTGCAACGCGTGCGAGAACGCCTTGATGGTGGGAAGAAAAGCGGGAACCAACATCTGCAGACATGTGCAACCACTGCAAGACATGTGCAAGAAGGAGCGTGGAAGCTCAAGATGAAGAAGGGCAAGGACAAGGCCGGGAGGGTTTATCATCAACCAATATGGGTTTCCAAGTCGTGGGGTCTCAAGCTGCAGAAGCGCAACGACAAGGCCGGGAGGGTTTATCCTCAACTAGTATGGGTTTCGAGGCAAGGACAAGGCCGGGAGGGTTTATACTCAACCAGTATGGGTTTCCGAGGTGCGGAAGCTCACAAGTCGAAGAAGACAGAGGCAACGGCAAGGCCGGGAGAGCTTATCCTCAACCGATGTGGGTTTCCGGGGTGTGGAAGCTCCAGCCGAAGAAGACAGAGGCAGGGACAAGGCGGGAAGGCTTATCCTCAACCGGTATGGGGTTCCGAGGTGTGGGAGCTCAAGCCGAAGAAGACAGAGGCAAGGACAATCCAGGGTATGGAAGCTTGAGCCTCAACCAATGTGGGTTGCCGAGGTGTGTGGTCTCAGCGACAAGGCTGAGAGGGCTTATCCGGAGAGCTTTTCCTCAAACAAAACAGGAACCTGAAGGTATGCAGTTCAGGAGCTAGCCGACCTTCCCCCTCCCCCTCCCTCCCCCTCCCATGCCCTATTGACGGCCTTTTCCGCCCCTTCCACAGTTGGCAGGGTGGCACGAATTCTAGGGAAGGTAGTGGCAGAAATCAATGGGGTGCGGGGTCTTCCCCCCGCCCCCCTCCCCCTAAAATGGGGCGTTGGTTCCCGCCCCTCCCACCCCCCTCCCCCACCCTCCCCCCCTCCCTCCCCCTCCCCACCCGGTGCCTCCTCCGGAGGGTGGCACGAGTCTTACGGGGGGTAGTGGGCAGACACCAAAAAACAATCCTCAACTAAAACGGGGTGTGGGGTTACCCTCCCCCCCCTCCCTCCCCCCCCCACCCGGTGCCCCCTCCGGAGGGTCCCCCCCTCCCTCCCCCCTTCCCTCCCCCTCCCCCTCCATCCGCTCTGCCCCTCCCACCCCCTTCCCACCCTCCCCTCCCAACCCGCTCACTTAGACCGCAACCAGCGTGGAGTGCCAGGTGCGTATCCTCAAGAAGAAGAAGGCCGGGAGCGGGAACGAAGCCGTGCAGGCTCGCCTGCATGGTGTCCCAGGTACGTGGTCCCAACCCCAAGAAGACCGAAGTGAGGAGGTGAGCGCTGATTATCCTCAACCAATGTGGGGTCCCAGGTGCGTGGTCTCAGTCGAAGAAGGCGGAGGCAGGGACGAGGCCGGAGCACTTATCCTCACCCAATATGGGGTCCCAGGTGCGTGGTCTCAGCCCGAAGAAGGCGACGAGGCCGGAGCGCTTTTCCTCAACCAATATGTTCCAGGCGCGTGCTCGGAGGCGGGAGCGCTTATCCTCAACCAATATGGGGTCCCAGGTGCGTGCTCTCGCGGACCAGGCCGGCGCAATATGGGGTTCCAGGCGCGTGGTCTCAGCCCGAAGAAGGCGGAGGCGGGGACGAGGCCGGAGCTGGGGTCCCAGGTGCGTGCTCGGCAGGGACGAGGCCGGAGCGCTTATCCTCAACCAATATGGGGTCCCAGGTGCGAAAGCGGAGGCGGGGACGAGGCCGGAGCGCTTATCCTCGACCAACGTGGAGTCCCAGGTACGCGATCTCGGCCCGAAGAAGGTGAAGGTGGGGACGAGGGCGGAGCACTTATCCTCAACCGATATGGGGTCCTAGGTGCGTGCCCTACCGCAGCGTGCATCAGTGCCAGGTGCTTGAAGCCAGAAGAAGGCGAGCTTCAAGAGGAGGCGACAACAAGCTCGAAGGACTTACTCTCAGAATACGTTCTCGGCGCGTGGTCTCAACCTGAAGAAGACAGAGGCGGCGACAAGGCCGGATCGCCTATCCTCAACTGTCATGGGTTCCCAGGTTCGTGGTCTGGAGAGAACAGAAGCCGAGACCAGGCCGGAGTGCCTATCCTCAATCAATATGGGGTCCCAGGTGCGCGGTCTCAACTTGAAGAGGATGGAGGCGGGAACCAGGCCGGAGCACTTCTCCTCAACCAAAACCGGGTCCGAGGTGCGTGGTCTCAACTCGAACAGGACGGAGGCGAGGAGAGGCCGGAGTGCCTATCCTCAACCAAGATAGGGTCCCAGGTGCATGGTTTCATCTTGGAGAAAAGAGAAAGGACGAGGCCTCAACCAATATGAGGTCCGAGGTGCGTGACCCCAGCAAAAAGACGACGGAGGCAAGGACAAGGCCGGGGTTCGAAGTGCGTGGCCCCAGGAAGCTCAAGCTGAAGAAGACAGAGGCAAGAACGAGGCCGGGAGGGCTTATCCTCAACCAATATAAGTTTCCGAGGCGTGGAAGCTCAAGATGAAGAAGGGCAAGGACAAGGCCGGGAGGGTTTATCATCAACCAATATGGGTTTCCAAGACGTGGGGTCTCAAGCTGCAGAAGCGCAATGACAAGGCCGGGAGGGTTTATCCTCAACTAGTATGGGTTTCCGAGGTGTGGAAGCTCACAAGTCGAAGAAGACAGAGGCAAGGACAAGGCCGGGAGGGTTTATACTCAACCAGTATGGGTTTCCGAGGTGCGGAAGCTCACAAGTCGAAGAAGACAGAGGCAACGGCAAGGCCGGGAGAGCTTATCCTCAACCGATGTGGGTTTCCGAGGTGCGGAAGCTCACAAGTCGAAGAAGACAGAGGCAACGGCAAGGCCGGGAGAGCTTATCCTCAACCGATGTGGGTTTCCGGGGTGTGGAAGCTCCAGCCGAAGAAGACAGAGGCAGGGACAAGGCGGGAAGGCTTATCCTCAACCGGTATGGGGTTCCGAGGTGTGGGAGCTCAAGCCGAAGAAGACAGAGGCAAGGACAATCCAGGGTATGGAAGCTTGAGCCTCAACCAATGTGGGTTGCCGAGGTGTGTGGTCTCAGCGACAAGGCTGAGAGGGCTTATCCGGAGAGCTTTTCCTCAAACAAAACAGGAACCTGAAGGTATGCAGTTCAGGAGCTAGCCGACCTTCCCCCTCCCCCTCCCTCCCCCTCCCATGCCCTATTGACGGCCTCCCTTCCAGAGGTGGCAGGGTGGCACGAATTCTCAGGTAGTGGCAGAAATCAATGGGGTGCGGGGTCTCCCCCCCGCCCCCCCTCCCCTGCCCTCCCCCCCCCCCTCCTGGGCCGGGAGGGTAGTGGGCAGACACCAAAAGACAATCCTCAACTGAAATGGGGCGTTGGTTCCCGCCCCTCCCCGCCCCCCTCCCCACCCTCCCCCCCTCCCTCCCCCTCCCCACCCGGTGCCTCCTCCGGAGGGTGGCACGAGTCTCACGGGGGGTAGTGGGCAGACACCAAAAAACAATCCTCAACTAAAATGGGGTGTGGGGCTCCCCCGCACCCCTCCCCACCCTCCCCCCCCACCCGGTGCCCCCTCCGGAGGGTCCCCCCCCTCCCTCCCCCCCTTCCCTCCCCCGCTCCC